CTAACCGGCAGAGGGTGAAACCGCTGGCTGAGAGCCATGGGGCAACGTGCCAGTCACCTGAACATTTAGCAATGTCACTTTATCCTGTGTGTTTGGGACAAAATCGCTTATGTTAGTGGTGTAACAGGGATGTTATTGGTTAACATCTTCACCAAATATATCTGATATACTAAGGATCACTTCGTTAGCAATAAGGTTGGGCATGCAAGGGTTAAATGATTTAATCCTCCCATCACCTCTCTACTAAGCTCTATATGCTTTTAGCATAAATCATTTTCTTCCTGCATTACATAAAAGCACAGCAGAGAATTCTGTTCTCATTGATTGCTCTTTCTTAGTGCTTAATTTTGCAGCAAAGGCTATACTGGTTAGGCCAAGCTTAATCACATACTGCATTATGTGCATCACTTAGGGACTTTACCACAAAGAGAATCAACAGTGCCTCTCAAAGGACAATCCTTAACCAGGGAAATGAAGTTTAAAGGTGTTTGAAGATCTCTGCAACCAACACTGCAGGCTGTTATTGCATGCAAGCTCTGATTATCACTTATATCTTAAAGGGGCATTCAACCCAAATCTAGCATTATTTAGTTATAGTTTTATACTGATGGGTTGTATCCCCCACTGCCCTCCTATAGGCATGCATATCTGCATATAATGGAGTCTCACCCCCTTTGTTGAAATTTGAGGTGAATAGAATTAATAGTCTATATTCACAATAAAGTTTTACTAATGTACAAATAATAAAATCCAAAGGGGAAATGACTGCTGCTGCTAGGTGGAGCTGGGAGCTCAAGTGAAGAAATCTCACATTCATGTATCCCCTACTGCCCTCTTTTAGACATCAGTCTCTGCATTTATTTAAGTCTCAATCCTCATGCTGCAGTATTGGAAAAATAGATTCATGAGCTATATTGACAATAAAGTTATTTTAATGTACAAATAATAACAATTTCAGAAGGGAAATGTCTGCGGCTGCTGGGTATAGCTGGGAATTCAGGTGCAGAAATCATACATTCAGAGTCCACAAAAGCCATTAGAAGCTGGGTGGGGGATTCAACCTGCTGGCATGAAGATTCATTGGAAATATCACATTTAGAGTGCCCACTGGGAGTCATAAAACTTTTCCGATATCAGCATTTTATAGAGACCACCTCCACAAGTCTTAGCCATGATACAGTAAGATCACCATGCATAAATATATAAATGGTCCATGCTGTGAACTTGATGCAAAGGTATTCCCTTGCCGGTCATTGCAAAGGACTCTTTGCATCTGGAGGAGAAGGGGTTTAAAGGAGAACTATGAGGTGAGTGGAAATGACTCATCCTCATAGTTCGAGCCGACGTGTGACAATGAAACTGTCACACGTTGGCTCAATAAATCGGGAAGTGAGCGAACACATACCGCCGCTCGCTCACTTCTCGATCGTCTCCCTGCAGTGAGCTGTGACTGTCAGTCATGGCTCCCTGCAGGGATTCCCTCCCCGCTCCGATTCTCCAGCGCTGACTGGAGAAACGGACGGGGGAGGGGGCGGGTACGGCTGACTCTGCCTCTAGATAGACATAGCCCGCTGTCACTCACGCATCTGGGTGGATCTCGACAGTAATGTCGGGATCTGTCCCGGCTGTGGCAGTCTCAGTATACTGCGAGCTGTAGCTCGTGATATACTGAGCTTTGGGTCACGGGAGGATGCTAGTATATGTCCTCCCGTGACCCTTAAGAGAACTCTGGGGAAAAACACTTACCCCTTAGTTCTCTTTTAAGCTTCACATAAGGAAATACTCCTTTACAGTAAGAGCTGTGAAAATGTGGTATAGGCTACCCATGGAACAAATTCTAGGTAATTCAGTTAAATGTTTTATAACCATATGTTTTATAACCAGATATTAACACTGTATGAGTAATAATGCCAGAGAATGTTGATCCAGGGAATATCTGATTGCCTTAGGGCACATTTGTCAAACTTAAGACCCAGGGGCCGAATCCGGCCCACCAGGCCATTTCCTAGACTTCTACTTTCAGATCTAGGTATTAAGTTATTACTTAAACCAGTGATAATCGAATGCAGAGGCAAATATGATAAAGATTAGATACATTTATATAGTCTTACAGATACCTTTGAGGGCAACCATAATGTTGATGCGGCCCATGATTAAATTGAGTTTGACACTCGTGCCTTAGGGGATCATGAAGGACTTTTTTCACCTGTTGGTGCAATTTTTTGTGCCTTCCTGTGGATCAGCTGTGGGTAGCTGTAGGCATAGGGTTCTGTTTATGAAGGTTTTCTATGTATTTCTTCATTGATGTCTGTATTGGTGGAACTCCATGCACGTGTTTCAAACATAACTACATAACAGGATCAAAGTATTTTATTTATTTATTACAGGTAATTATAGTGCATTGATTGAAGCAGCCCTTTACATCAGTCCCTGCCCCCAATAGGGTTCCTATTACACATGCATACATACACGCACACCTACACTAGGGTCGATTTAGAGCCAATTAACCTACCAGCATGTCTTTGGACTGTGGCAAGAAACCCATACAAGCACAGGGAGAACATGCAAACTCCATGCAAATAGTGTTCTGACTGGGATTGGAAGCCAGTGCTGCAAGGCAAAAGTGCTAATCACTAAGCCACTCCCCATATTTCGTACTGACTTCCACACGGAGATGATGCAGCAATCATCAGCACAATGAGAAATTTACATGCAGTGATTTTCAATGTAAAATGTCACTGGTAGGTAAAGCCCTTGTATGAAAAAGACAACGTGTGACATCAGCCAGATTAATAACTATCTACAGGATGATGCTTTATAAAGTTTGTTTCAAAGGAAAAGCAATTTCTGTAACTGTAACAGGATGTGCTTTTTTGGGATGGAACCATGGCAAATATGTGATGAAGTGATTGCATTTGAGGAAAAGAGCTCATTACAGTGCCAGAAACATTTCTATGACTACTACAGACTTTATTGAAATTCCAAGCTAAGTGTGACGCACATAGAGAGAATTGCCCTGATGCATCAGTTTTATGTCAGGATTGTCCATTTAATGCAGAATGAGCAAAGACTAATTTCTTTCCATGGTAAAGTATGACTCACAGGAGGGAGAGATGCTCAGGGTCTCAATGGTTCTGCCAAGCAGAGGTTTCTCCTATAGGAACTTGCTGACAGTGCAGGACACTGGGTGTTCTGCACCTCTTCAACCTTTCTGCCTTACTGGTAATTGTATCCTGTCTCCCCCTCCCATATTCAGTGCTGGCATAATTCATTCTTCCTGGCACAGAAAACTGGCATCTGGGACATAAGCAGTATATTTATGGAGCGCTAGCTGCAATATAGACCTACAGCTTGTTCCATCATACATTTTTTATCCCTCCACTCTCTAGAAATTGAATGGCTTGCTGTATTTCCACCTAGAACTATCCAGTTACATATGCATTTAAAGAACTAAAAAAACCTAATGTGCAACTTGTTTTATATAAAAGCTACAAATGGTGCATATTTATCTGGCTATGTACTTGTGAGCTGGAAACCCACTGAAATGTAGCATTTGCTACTGTTAAATTATTATACGTTTCAATGGGTTTCATGTATCAAAATGTTATTGCTAAGAACAGTCCAAGGTCACCATTCAAATTTAAACCTATCCTAAAAAATGACAGCTGGAATGGAATATTTGAACATGATTGGAGGTTATGGGACAATTCTTATTATGAATGTACAAAGCCAACCTATAATGAGGCAGCCTGCGGTGACGGGCAGACCAGCATGGCCGCTCTGCTGCACAAAGTTTGCAGTGTGCCTGCTGCCCCCTTTCAGGCCAAAGCATCCCAGGTTGCTAAGAACCAGGCGAGGAGATGTGTAAGGGCCATACACATCTCCCCCTCAGCTCTTATCAACCTGGGACGCTGTTGCTGGCGTCCTGAGGAGCTCCTGGCAACCAATGATGTCACCATCTCACCCCCCATTCCCCCAGGCCGCCTCAGCTGGAAAAAATGCTGGCGATGCCCCTGGCAATCTGTTATACCAGGTGCCGGATTCCACTCCTTCCTATCTACCTGTCCCATACTTTTAGACAAGCTGATAGCCTAAATTATCCATTGTTCTCTGCACACCTGTCCATCATGGATTCTTGCTATGTCAACTTTGTTATCTATACTGAAAAATAAAAGAAAACTCGGACAGGGACAGCAAAGTCTCATCATAATGGCATGAAGGTAGGGGGAGCTGAGAACTCTAGGGCAGTGATCACGCCACTGGAGTCATGGCGGTTAATGTCAGCCACCAATCACTTTTTGGAATGGTCTGAAGCTGATTGGGTGACTAGTAGAAATTACCTCAGTTTTTAGAAAGCACAGGTTGATATAAGACCCTTTATCTGGAAAATCATAGTGACATTAGGCATTTTAAACATTTTCTAATCTACCTAAAACTGAAAAATGGATTAAATGATCCCTTAGGAATAAAACGTTCTAATTATATTAAAGTGTATCGAAATCGAAACCGTTCACTACTCCTAAAGTTATGTCTATAGATACACCTTAAACACACCACTATCTACTACTTTGGAGAGTAGTCCATCTGGACCTTGCTATAATGGTTTCTTAGGGAAATGTTCCAGGTAACTGCACAAAGCCA